AGGGCGAGCGATGCTCGCCGAGGGTATGCAAACCCTAACCAGGAGACTTGGTCACAGATTCCGTTAGGCTTTCTGGCTGGGGACCTCAGGATGATCGTAACCGATAGTTAGACACTCAGTAATACGGCCGTGTCGTAAACAATGGTGTTCGTACATCTCAATTTCTTTGCGACGCTAGTCCACTACAATTCTCCATTTTCCATTCTACTCTACTTTCAGCTTTCTTGCTTTTCCCTTCCTGTTCATTCAAAATGGTTCTTCAAAAGTGAGGTTTGTCATGACATGTGATGTGCGTATAACACGAACTATGGCAGTCGGTATAATGTGAAGTTTGGGATACTGATGATATCACGCATCTAGTTGGGATGGGAATTAAGGGACCTGAAACATATTGCCATCCTTACTGCCTCCATGGTAAAATAAAACAGTAAAGTAAATGAATGTGATACTTATTTTGGAGGGATTGAATCACAAAATTAGAGCATCACAAACGAGTACGATCTGACCGAACCGTTTGCGTTGATGCAAAAATGATTAAGCTCAGTTGGCCCAATTGGGAAGGCGAAAAAAAGTACAGCATGACCTTGTTGCAGCCGTGGTTGGGTTGATAGTAAAACGGATCTAAATAAAATATTGCAGATTAGGTTGTGGTGACAACAGTAAGTGCAGTGATGGTTAACCTATAATACGGTCCGTCGTGTGCACTTGTGAACACCACTGATTACTTAATCCTGGGCTTCCATTGTTACTGCTACAGAATTCATCAGATTGAACCGAATGACCACCGTTGGCCAAGCCGAGCCCTATTTGGTTCGCACATTCTGTCACCTGGACTAGGATGCATTCGCTACCAAAACACAAATCACGTGATCCAAGCGGAAAAAGCTGCTGTTCGTATGCGTCTTGCGCGGACTGAACAATCCAGTGAGCGAGTCTGTTTCTATCAGCGAAAGAAGAACAGTTTCATCAGTCAACCAGGCTGACTAAACACTTGCTACTACAGTCACAAACTTGCAACGTTCGTTTTGTGTCCGGACTACCATCATTATGACTAAGACCCAAAAGCATTTCGGATTCACCTTTATCCACTACTTCAACAAGACCAAGACGTATATTTGATCTTCACAACTTCTGCCCCAATCTGTTACTTCATCATTGGGCACTATAGCAACGGTTTGATGCGTCCTTATTTTTTTACACATTTGTGTGGGGAACAGCAGACGGGGCGAACCCCATAATCACGAAGACCTGCCGCTCCGTTATGGAAACCGGTAACCTAAACCCCGGGACTTGGAGTGCCGAATCACATAAGGCCCCGATAGGTTAGGCTTGGTATTGAACCGGACATGTTTATGCTCCAATAATCTCGGTTTGACATGCCCGAAGACTATTCACCGGAAATATGATAGACTTGCGACTGGTTATTGGGCTCTACGCGTTCTGTTCTGTTTACTCTAACCGAAACATGAAAGCTTAGTGATAGACATGCGTCCGTAATCTGACCTGGACATTATTCGCCGTGATTTCAACTAATTGCAACCCAGGTAATTGTGGAGACTCTCTGATATAGTTATACGACCAAATAGGAACCACGTATTTTCCTCAAAACACAGACGCATCGCGGCGTTCAAACGAGAATGGACCCTGACCAAGCGCGCGCGCATTCCGCAAATTAATGATAGCTACTATGGTAGTTTCAAAGGTGAATCCGTTGTGAACTGAAAAGCTAGGAGGCACTGAACAGCTGTTTCGACCTGGTTGGGACTCATCAGCAGTGGGTATCCATCGACCCAACCGGGTACCTCACAGACACAATGCAAGCATGCTACCCACTCGGTCACCGGGCAGCTGACCAGACTGTTTTTCAGTTTCCATTTACATGGTATAGCACAACCCATCTTTCCGAGCTTGTTGCGAACCACAGACCATGCTCATTTCAGCACTAGCCTCCAACATAATTGAAATTAGGCAATCGTCTTGTGCAAATTTGCTCTAGTTTTTGATTTACACCAGACTCAGTTTAGACGGTGCGATCTCTCTCTCTCTCTATATATAT